AGCACGCCTCATCTCCTTCCTCGCAGCACGAAAACGAACAAACCGCCTGAGACGTCACCGCAAACTGGCCGCGAACGGGCCCGTGTCCTACCCCCTCCCCTGGCGGCTCCATTTACGGGTGCTGAAACCAGCGCCCCGCCTGAGACATCTTCAAAATCTGCTCTGAAAGCCAAGGATGGTGGGCATGTAAACGAGCAAACCGTTTGAGACATCCCACCAAACTGGCCGCGAACGGGCCCGTGAAAACACCCCTAGCGGCTCTCCTTAGGGATGCTGAAACCAGCGCCCCGCCTGAGACATCCTCACAATCTGCTCTGAAAGCCAAGGAACTTGGCCATGAAAACTAGCAAACCGCCTGAGACATCCCACCAAACTGGCCGCGAACGGGCCCGTGAAAACACCCCTGGCGGCTCCCCTTGGGGGTGCTGAAGCCAGCGCCCCGCCTGAGAAATCCTCACAATCTGCTCTGAAAGCCAAGGATGTTGGGCATGAAAACGGACAAACCGCCTGAGACATCCCCACAAATTGGCCGCGAACGGGCACGTGAAAACACCCCTGGCGGCTCCCCTTAAGGGTGCTGAAACCAGCGCCCCGCCAGAGACATTCTCACAATCTGCTCTGAAAGCCAAAGATGTTGGACATGAAAACGAGCAAACCGCCTTAGACATCCCACCAAACTGGCCGCGAATGGTCCCGTGAAAACACCACTGGCGGCTCCCCTTAGGGGTGCTGAAACCAGCGCCCCGCCTGAGACATCCTCACAATCTGCTCTGAAAGCCAAGCATCTTGGCCATGAAAACGAGCAAACCGACTGAGACATCCCCACAAACTGGCCGCGAACGGGCCCGTGAAAACACCCTGGCGGCTCCATTTACGGGTGCTGAAACCAGCGCCCCGCCTGAGACATCTTCAAAATCTGATCTGAAAGCCAAGGATCTTGGCCATGAGAACAAGCAAACCGCATGAGACATCCCCACAAACTGGCCGCGAACGGGCCCGTGTCCTACCCCCTGGCGGCTCCATTTACGGGTGCTGAAACCAGCGCCCCGCCTGAGACATCTTCAAAATCTGATCTGAAAGCTAAGGATGTTGGGCATGAAAACAAGCAAACCGCATGAGACATCCCCACAAACTGGCCGCGAACGGGCCCGTGTCCTACCCCCTGGCGGCTCCATTTACGGGTGCTGAAACCAGCGCCCCGCCTGAGACATCTTCAAAATCTGATCTGAAAGCTAAGGATGTTGGGCATGAAAACAAGCAAACCGCATGAGACATCCCCACAAACTGGCCGCGAACGGGCCCGTGTCCTACCCCCTGGCGGCTCCATTTACGGGTGCTGAAACCAGCGCCCCGCCTGAGACATCTTCAAAATCTGATCTGAAAGCTAAGGATGTTGGGCATGAAAACAAGCAAACCGCATGAGACATCCCCACAAACTGGCCGCGAACGGGCCCGTGTCCTACCCCCTGGCGGCTCCATTTACGGGTGCTGAAACCAGCGCCCCGCCTGAGACATCTTCAAAATCTGATCTGAAAGCTAAGGATCTTGGGCATGAAAACAAGCAAACCGCATGAGACATCCCCACAAACTGGCCGCGAACGGGCCCGTGTCCTACCCCCTGGCGGCTCCATTTATGGGTGCTGAAACCAGCGCCCCGCCTGAGACATCCTCACAAACTGCTCTAAACGCAGACGAGTCTGCCCACCAAAACCAAGCCGCCTGAGACATCCTCACAAACTGGCCGCGAACGGGCTCGTGAAAACACCCCCTGCGGCTCCCCTTAGGGGTGCTGAAACCAGCGCCCCGCCCGAGCCATCCTCACAAACTGCTCTAAACGCAAACGAGTCTGCTCACCAAAACAGCCAAACCGTTTGAGACATCCCCACAAACTGGCCGCGAACGGGCCCGTGAAAACACCCCTGGCGGCTCCCCTTTGGGGTGCTGAGACCAGCGCCACGCCTGGGACATACTCCGAATCTTCTGTGTGTTGAATAAGTCTGCGTATGCGTAAGTCTGACTATGAGAAGGTCTGAGTATGAGTAAGTCTGTGTATGAGTAAGTCTGTGTATGTGTCCGTCTGGGTATGAGTAAAAATGGGGATGAGTAAGTCTGTGTATGAGTAAGTCTGTGTATGCGTACGTCTGGGTATGAGTAAGTCTGAGTACGAATAGGTCTGAGTATGAGTATGTCTGAGTATGAGTAAGTCTGTGTATGTGTAAGACTGGGTATGAGTAAGTCTGAGTATGAGTAAGTCCGAGAGGAGGGAAGAAGAAGAAGAAGAAGAGAGAGTAGGAGGCGTCCAAGTAATAAGAAGAACCCCATCTTAGGATATGGGGAAAAAAATCAAAATATACTCAAAAATGGTCCAACAAAATCGTCCCCATACTATGTCTTTACATTTTTGTTGAACTGTTTGCTACAGAGGGACACGCCCGACTTGACCTTAGACCCAAGCCACGGGGCCCGAAACCGAGCAGAAACGCCAGGGCAAGAAAGGAAAGTGGCAGCGCCTGGGGCCTCGGGGAAAGACAAAAAGAAGCCGCCGTGATCACAACGAGCACTGTACCAGGGCCATGCCTGGTGGCCCAGGGGTTCGCAAGCGGCCTTCGGCCACGGTGAACTCCATTGGTGAGGGACGCTGGCGGCCTCACCTCGGCCTGCACGGTTTCCCCCTGGACCGCAGGCGACCCGAGGACGAGGAGGAGGGAGGAGAGGAGGAGGAGGAGGAGGAGGAGGAGGAGGAGGAGGAGAAGGAGAAGGAAGAGGAGGAGGAGGGGAAGGACGAGGAGGAGGGGGAGGGGGAGGTGGAGGTGGAGGAGGAGGGGGAGGGGGAGGAGGAAACGGAGGAGGAGGAGGACGAGGAGGAGGAAAAGAACGGGTCGCCTAAACCCTTCGGAGAAACCCTCCACCTCGGCCCTCGTGGCGAGCGGAACGCCAGCACCGGGGGGCGGCGCGCAGTCGAGAAGACCGCTGAGCAACTGTGAAACATGTAAATATGCCAGCGTGGACCCCGAAGTGGCGACGGCGCCTACGTGAGCGACGATCAAGAAACGGGCCTTACGCGAGGTGGTGCAGCGACCTTATGCCGCAGCTTGCGCGGGCCGCCCGACCGGCACGCTGCACTGGAAACGAGGGCGCCCACGCGAGACCTTACGCGGGCAGCTGACGAGCCAACGTCGGCGCAGACGACCCCATCGCTTTACGTCGCCCGCGTGGCGGCAGGAGCGGCCGCCAGGCCCAACTCCGCAGAAGATACCCAGACATCCGACGTCTCGATTTTTTCGAGACACGGGCCCCCGACCTCCCGACCAGTTCCGCCGGACCAGTTCTTCATCCCGAATCATTATCTGACAGTCCCGAGGCCCGGCGAGGGCCCACGGAGGCCGAAATCGGCAAAAAACCTCCACCTCGAATTTTGTTCGAGACGCCCGAAATCTGGGTCTGGGCACGCACGAGACCCCGCAAAAAGCAAAACTCTGTTTGGGGGCCAAAGCGCGACAGGCCGGCACAAAGGAGGGGGAGGAGGAGGACGAGGAGGAGGAGGAGGAGGGGGAGGAGGAGGAGGAGGAGGAGGAGGAAGAGGAGGAGGAGGAGGAGGAGGAGGAAGAGGAGGAGGAGGAGGAGGGGGAGGAAGAGGAGGTGGAGGAGGAGGAGGAGGAGGAGGAGGAGAGAGAGGGGAGGAGAAAGGGAGGAGGGGAGGAGAAGGAGGAGGAGGAGGAGGAGGAGGAGGAGGAGGAAGAGGAGGGGGAGGAGGAGGAAGGGGAGGAGGAGGAGGAGGAGGAAGAGGAGGAGGAGGAAGAGGAGGAGGAGGAGGAAAGAGGAGGAGGAAAAGGAGGAGGAGGATGACGAGAAGGAGGAGGAGGAGAAGGAGGAGGAGGGGGAGGAAGAAAAAGAGGAGGAGGAGGAGGAGGAGGAGGGGAGGAGGAGGAAAAGGAGGGGAAGGAGGAGAAAGAGGAGGAGGAGGAGGATGAGGAGGAAAAGGAGGGGGAGGAGGAGGAAGAGGAGGAGGAGGAGGGGGAGGAAGAGGAGGGGGAGGAGGAAGAGAGGAGGAGGAGGAGGAGGACGAGAGGAGGAGGAAGAGGAGGAGGACGAGGAGGAGGACGAGGAGGAGGAGGAGGAAGAGGAGGAGGACGAGGAGGAGGACGAGGAGGAGGAGGAGGAGGGGGAGGAGGAAGAGGGGGGGGAGGAGGAGGAGGAGGAGGAGGAGGAGGGAGGAGGAGGAGGAGGAGGAGGAGGAGGAGGAGGAGGAGGAGGACGACGAGAAGGAGGAGGAGGAGGAGGAGGAGGAGGAGGAGGAGGAGGGAGGAGAGGGGAGGAGGGGAAGAGGAGGAGGAGGAGCAGGAAGAGGAGGAGGAGGAGGAGGAGGAAGAGGAAGAGGAGAAGGAGGAGGAGGAGGAGGAGGAGAAGGAGGAGGAGGAGGAGGAGGAGGAGGAGGAGGCGTCTGATGATGCGGCCAGATCCAGCTGGCCCAGCTACCGAGGCGGTCGCCCCCAAGAGGGAGCCGAGCGCTGAGCCAGCACGACGACGAGAAGACGCCAGGGCCCAAAAATCCAAAACCGAGGGAGGCGAATCCAGCCGTGGCGACGCCAACCAGCCGAACCAACCGCCTCCCCATGCCGCAGCCGCCCGCGGCGAGGCGCGCAGCAGCCCCGCAGGCCTCACGCCTCGGGAGGCGCGCCGCCGCTCTCCTTGTGCACCTCCTGGAGGCCTTTCTGCTGGTAGGCGTAGCCGACCTCCTCCAAGTTCGGCCCGAACCTCTCGACTGCTAGCTTCAGGAGCTCGCCATCGCTGATCCCCTCGTTCACGAGGGTGGGCAAAGCTGGAATATGCGGCAGGTCCTCCAGCTCGGCAGCGCTGCCTGCCCTCTGGTCGATCTGCTCCTCGATCTTCACCTCGGTGTCCTCGCACAGCGTGTCATCAAGCAGCCCCCTGTAGGGAACGAGGTCGTAGTCCCTGAGCTCCCCGAGGGAGCGCTCCAGGAGCCCGAGGTATCCCTGCACCCCGAGGTCACACTCCTCCAACATGATGCGCAACTCCGCCACCGTCACGCACCCGTTGCCGTCCGCGTCGCACTTCTCCAACGCACGAAGCAGCGCCCAACCACCTGCGCCAGAGCCCTGCTGCGTGTGCTGCGTGCTAGATTCGTTGGCCTCCTGTTCCTTCTCGTCCTGATGCTGGTCGTCGTCGTAACGCTCCTGCTCGCCCATCGACTCGTCACCGACGTCCTGGCCGAGCTGCTCGAAGCGGTTCCCCACCTCCACTCCGCACTCGACCATGCGGCTCTGCCCGATGCCGAAGTCCTTCTTGAACTCGTGGAAGCCGTCGCACTCGTGGCCTGGGTACTCCAGGTGGCCAGCGTCCGAACCTATGTCGAAGCATTGCACCTTGGTGCCGCCACGCTCCTCAGGATTCGGCCTGCGGTCCTTTTTCTCGTCTTGCCCGATCACGTTCAAGGCTGGCGGTCGTGGATCCTCCGCTCCGCGAGCCCGTGCACGATGGTGGGCACACCCTGCTGGATGCGCTTCTTGGCCTCGAACAGTTTCCTCGCCAGCGCCCTCCGCATGGAGGCCTTCTCCAGCGTTGTGACCTGCCCCTCCTCCAGCGCCGTCTGCTTGCGTTTCTTCTCCTTCTTGGCCAGCTGGACCCGCTCCTTGAACGCCACGTACTGCCTGAGGCGACGGCTGAGCCTTGGCACGCTCTCCGTCTCCTGCTTGTTGTTGGCCCTCTTCGTTGCCAACTCCGAAGGTCTCCTGGCCGGGGGTCCCAGGTCCCGAACCTTCCGCATCGACTCCCCCACCACCCGCTGGTAGGCCTGCGGCCTTGGCCGCGCCCCAGTCTGCCGCAGGGAGGCCGCCTCCTTCGCCGCCCCGAGGACGTACGAGGCAGCACCCCTCTGGACCAGCAACGCCCCGGCCAGGCCGTACCCCAGCTTCAGCGCGTCCTGGATGCTCTTCACCATGGGGCACGTTGCCCATGCCGGCGTCGCCACGCCCGCTTTGGACACCGCCATGGCACAGGATGAAGGCCGTCTTCTGGACGTAGTTCTTCTGACTGAACATGAAAGTGAGCTCACCCAGCGCCTCACCCAGTGAACCGTTGATGCAGGTCGCGTCCACGTAGAACTCCACCTGCATGCAAGCGGAGGAGGACGAGGAGGAGGAGGAGGAGGAGGAGGAGGAGGAGGAGGAGGAGGGGGGGAGAGGAGGAGAAGGAGGAGGAAGAGGAGGAGGAGGAGGAGGAGGAGGAGGGGCAGAGGAGGAGGAGGAGGAGGGAGGAGGAGGAGGGAGGAGGAGGAGGAGGCAGAGGAGGGGGAGGAGGAGGAGGAGGAGGAGGAGGAGGAGGAGGAGGGGGAGGGAGGAGATGGAGGAGGAGGAGGAGGAGGAGGAGGAGGGGAGGAGGAGGAGAGGAGGAGAGGAGGAGGGAGGAGGAGGAGGAGGAGGAGAAAGGAGGAGGAGGAGAGAGGAGGAGGAGGAGGAGGAGGAGGAGGAGGAAAAGGAGGAGTAGGAGGAGGAGGAGGAGAAAGAGAGGAGCAGGAGGAAGAGGAGGGGGGGGAGGGGGAGGAGGAGGGTGAGGAGGAGGAGGAGGAGGAGGAGGAGAATCCGGAGAATTCGGCGACGACGGTGTCGAGTTTGGCCTAGGCGCGCGCCGTGTCGGGGCCCAGAAACGTTCGAGCCCCTAGAACGGCGCGGCCCGTGGGACCCAGGGATCCCGAAAACCTGGGCACGGGCGTCAATGGGGGATGTCTTTACCCCTAGACAGGCGTGATATTACGCACTTCCCATTCGTAGTGGGGGGGGCGCAGGGGCCGAAGAGCCCCTTAACACTACTCCTATCAGACACTGTGGCGCGACGGCCACAGACTGCGCACCACCACAAGGGGGCGCGCTCTGCATACTCCACGGTGTGAGAAGGGCGCACAGTTCTATTACCTATCTGGACACGATGATGACCCCCCCCGCTCCCACGGGCCCCAACATCCTTAGGGGGAGGGGTTTGCAAATATTCAGCCAACGCTTGATGGTCGGGAGTCCAGATTGGTGGCTGAATGCCGCGCTGCAAACTCTACATTGCCATCTACTACGAGAGGGGGGGGGAGGTTGTGAGGAGAGGCGGAGAGGGCCTGGGACCTAGCTCTCCTCCTGGGACGACGGGCCACGAGCGACCGCATCAACATGGGCACGGATGCGGCGTTTCCATACGAGCGAAGCCGTCGCTCGTGCCCATTCGCACATGCGCATCTGCGCGGGCGGCAGCTCATGGAGCGCGGCGCCGCGCTCCGCGAGGGCGCCAGCCGCCGCGTTGCCGAGCCAGGCCTCCTCGCCCGTGTGCTTCGCCACCATCTCCTCGGGCCCCTGGTGGCTGAGCACGCGCCGCAGCGTCACCAGCTCGGAGGGGTCGTCGAGCTATGGGCTGCGGCTGTGGAGTCCCGTGCACAACTCGCCCCAGATGTCCCGATTGGCTCTGCGCCGGCCCGTCTTGCTGTAGCGCGCTCGCTGCCAGCCTCTGATCGCCGCGTCAAGGTCTGTCCATATGATGATCCTGCCCTTGGTCGTCTTCAGCGCCTGGACGATTGCCCACAACTCAGCTCGGTTGTAGGTCTGGCGTCGTCCAGGCAGCGGTCCGTACTGTGCTCCATGCATGTATCGTCCAAGATTCGCTGGTCTGCGTGAGTTCTGCCCAACCCCATCCGAATCTTCGGCACCGTGGGTCGCCTGAGTGCCCCCCGCCGCTTCCGTCGGTGCTGGCGGTGGCGATGGCGTCGTTACTGTAGTCGGTGCTGTCGAAAGTGCCCATGTCGAGTGGCTGGTTGGCGGCGGTACATTCAGGTAGCGTGATCCAAGCTCCCGGCACCAATCCTCTTAGCCAGAAACACGGTACGTATTGGCTGCCCTCGATTGCTCTCCTCTGTAGCATGGCCGTATTCGTGCTCGTGGTCTTCGTCTCGTGCTGCACAGTTGCCCCATACTCTGTGGAGGTCGGCGCATACCATGCCGCATGTGCATATGTTGTCCGTGTCGCTGAACATAAGGCACTTGCGCGCTGGCGTCCACATTGCTGCGCATGTCGCTGCCTGTAGCATGCCTGCATCGTGGTGCTTGCCTTGATTGCGTAGCTTACGCGGCTGCCTGCCCAAGTCGCATGCGTTGATGCCGAACTCGGAGCCTTTGCCAAGCCAATGCGAGGATGCCTTGGCCCAGTGCTGGAATTGGTGCGCTTCCATGATGGCGTGGATGACCTCTGTGGGGTCTCCGTGGTGGTCTTCGTCGCCGATCTCCCACGTGCTTCCCTGGTCGTCGATCCATTCTGTCGGTGGTATCGCATCCCATCAAACCTCCCACAGCGTAAGTACCATCGTCCCCACAAGGCCCCGACGTTGTCTCCATCGGTAGATGGGCGGCACGTTGTGGAGGCGCTGGAAGATGACTGGCCACGCCTGGTGGGCGCCGTCGCGCATGCTCTCGCGGCGGCCCCAGACGTCGAACAATGCGCCCAGGACCCCGCGCAGGATGGCTTTGGCGGGGTCGGCGTCAGCTAAGGCGAGGTATGCGTGGAGGCACCGACCAGCCCAGTGCCCCCCCAGCGCCCTAGCGCACCGTCGTCTTGCTGTGGTGATTGCTGCGGGTGTTTCTCCGTATATCTTGCAGCCGTAGAGGTAGGGCACTATGGGGCCCTGTGTGATGATGGCTCGCTTGCGCTGCGCTCGTAGTCGACGTAGCTTCAGTGCACTGTTGCGTAGCCGTCCAGCTGCTAGTCATCATCGTTTGCGGGGTGTGTCGGTCTGCTCGTCGGCGTGCGTCCTGCCCGATCCTGTCCAAGGTCGCGGCCTACTGACGCTGCCTTGATGCTGAGCCCCTGGTATCGTACCTGCTTGCATATCTCGTGTGTCATGGCCATGTCGTAGCTGACGATCAGGCTCTTGCCTGCCATCTCCAGACTTTGCTCGCTGAAACATCGCGCGTAGGTGGTGGTGGCGAGAATGCTATTGTCCGTGACGTGTTGTTTGCTGCCAATGTCCTGAGTTCCACGTCAACGAACCAAACTCGCGGCGTCACTGCTGGGATCTGGTAGCGCCGGCGGTGGGGTACCTGATACATGGCCGCTCGTGCCAGGTTGTCCGCGTGGCGTGGGCCAGCAACCAAAGATCTGGATGGTAGTATGGGTTGCCGTACGTGGAGGCTTGGCGTAGGAGCCGCGTGAATGCGTGGAGCTGGGGCTCGAGTGCTAAGATGCGCGGTGGGAACCACAGATGTCTGGTGGCGCACACCACTTGCAGCAGGTCCAGCGCGTCATAGAAACGGCGGGCGTCTGCGAGTGTTGAGGCGCGTGCTAGCTGCAGCGCGTCGCAGATCTCGTCGCCTAAAAAACGCGCTGCGGCCTCGCGTAGGCAGCTGCTGCTCGCCAAGGCCGCGTCCCAATGACGTCCTGCGACTCGAACCCACTTGCCCACTGTTGGTCTGATGAGCTTCTCCCACGCGCGGCATATCTGCGGTAGTAGGCCCAGTGCTCTATCGCCATCGGCCTTTGGGTGGAGCATGATGGTGGAGCTCTGTACTTGCCATGGCCATGCGAGCTCTCGCTCGCAGCTGTTGAACAGGTCGACAGGTTGCTGTCGCCCCGCCTGCGGGAGTCGTCGCAGGCCGGAGCTCGCGATTGCGTCGGCGCCCTTGCCCTTGTCGGGAGAGCAGCGCAGCGAGAAGTCCAGGTCCTCGAGGGTCCAGCGCGTTGCTGGGGCTGCGCTGGCGGCGCCCTTGACGTCGTTGATGATGGCGACGGAGTCCAGGTGGGTCAGCGTGGGATGTGACCACAGCTCCCGAAACTCTTCTGCCTTTCCGTCGAGTATGGTTTTAGGGCAGCACGCCTTCCCTCGGACGTGCACGCACTCGTCTTCGTGACCTTCTTCAAGCTTGGTTAGCTTGTGAAGCTTACCAGGCGTGGTCTTAGTGGCGTCGGTGAGCCAGATCATGAAATTGCGAGGTCGTGCTCATGTCGGACTTCAAGGCCCTCTTGACTTCGTGCTCCGCTTGTATCGTCATGCCCTGTACTATGTCGATGCTAAGGGCATGCAGTCGTCGTAGTCGGTCGCCCCACAAGTTGCGGTGTAGGGTGGCTGCGGGTTTGAGTCGTACCCCATCCAGTGGGGATTCCGTGGTATGCTAGCTGGCGTGCTGTAACTTCGAATTGGCGTTGTTGTCTTGACCCGTGTCCTCTCTGCCGCAGGGTGAAGTAGGCGCGCAAAGTTGTCGCTGGCTGACCCCGCCAGTCGGACTGCTTGTCGTGGAAGTGGGTGCGTCTGGTTCGTGGTGTGGCCTTCGCTGATATCAACTTGCGTGCGTCGCCCCTCTCTGTACACCGATGTCGGTCATGAGGTCGGATGGCGTATGCAGCGCGACAGAAGTGCTCCAGGTGCTCACGAATCTGCCGCACTCCTG